TGTGTGTGTGTGTGTGTGTGTGTGTGTTTATGTATGTATGTGTGCGTTTGGGAGTATGTGTCTGTGCATGTTTGTGTGGGGAGGGGAGGGGTAGGTACAGACTCACTCACTCACTCACTCACTCACTCACTCGCTCACTCGCTCACTCACTCACTCACTCACTCACTCAATCGATCAACCAGTCGATCGATCGATCAACCAGTCGATCGATCGATCAATCAATCAATCAATCAATTGATCGATGGATCGATCAATCGATCAGCCAGTCAATAAATGAATCAATAAATCAATAAATCAATCAATAAATAAATCAATCAACCATCCAATCATTCAATCAAAGGCAAGTTGTTCTTGTAATGACAGGGTGTATGGAGTTTTAGGGCTGTGTTGAAGTCTAATAATCCAAATACCGTGACATAACGCCATTACACATCAATAGCCGACTTCGGACAAGTTCCACTCAATGATGTCATATTTAAAAAATAGTATTTCGTCAATACATTTCAATCTACTTGTCGGTGGTCAATTATTTTCATTATAACAAGAAAGCTTCGATGAGTTTCGATGTTGATTGACATAATGGCAAGGCTTCTTATTTTGACAAGACACATCACAATATGTACCTGTGTAGCGGTTAGGCACATCGCTGTTGCTCGCATGAGACTCGAGTTCGCCTTTTGTTTTGGTAAGTGTTTTAAGGTCATACGACGTGTGAGTTCGCCAGTTCGTATGACTCGAGTTCCATCCCCAAGTAGGGATAAATTTTTATTGAGCATCCCGGTCTTTCTGTTGGGATGTTGTATCCCTCTCAGCCTGAGTTGGCTCTGAAAATCTTGCTCGAAACCCGCCTCCTAAATTCTCAAAATTGTTTCGATGGGTGCGTAAAACACTTACCTACATACTTTTGCATCACATACTGTATTACTCTACCTGCATCCAGTATGCGAGTGACCAGCGTGGCGTCATAGTCGGGTACATAGCCCTCTAGCAGACGACTGCCGTTAGACATAGGCACTCCGGCCACGGCACAGTTGTCCTTGATGGCCAAAGTCTTACCGGCCAGGAGACCCTCGCTGGACCCTTGTATGTCACAGCGCCACGCCCTGAGACAATAAAAACAAAAGGAACAGTTTGGCGCGAGTGTGACGCAGTGCGAACTGACAAGCAGAGAAGAAGGGAAAAGGTGTGAAAGATTTGGGGACAGTTATCCAAAAAGTTTTGCACACTATCATTTCCTGGAAGTGGAAGAAGAACTATTTCCCTCGTCGTGCCGTGCTATGTGTTGCTATGCTATGCTATGCTATGCTATGCTATGCTATGCTATGCTATGCTATGCTTTGCTACGCTACGCTATGCTATCGCTACGCTGTGCTATGCTGTGCTGTGCTGTGCTGTGCTGTGCCGTGCCGTGCCGTGCCG